ATACGGCCGGCGGGCCGGATGCGGCCCGCCAGTGTCATTTTGGCAGTTAGGCCCGCCTCTACGTCAAATTATAATTTTTTTAATTTGCAGTAACAAACTTGCATTTAGGCATTTAGACTCGATCAATAGGATGGGTTTTTTTTTAAAAGCTCGACCAGCAGGAGTTGGTTTATAAATGAAAGGTTTTTTTTAGAGATCTGAACCTGCTATTGTAGGCTCAGGCTTCTCTTAGCAGCCCTCGTCCAGTTACGGTTTTTCAAATCTGGTCATTTGAAAATATGAGTTGTGCAGGCCAGGTTCTGATCCAGATTAATCAGGATGAGAACTTACTCGACTCGGGGCTATTACTGCGTGCGTGCCCTGTATTAAGTATTCCATTCAAAGTTCTTACTTTTACCTTCTATATTAATTTAGACCATTGTATTATCATATTTTTTCTGTAAAATTTCCTGGAATTAGAAGTTTAACTTGTCTTCTGTCTTCTAAGCTTTTAACTTCAAGGTAGAAGACATTATTTATATTCTGTTTTATACAGGGTGTTTCCGAACTTGGCGTCCAAATTTGTAGGGGTGGTAGTTCGCATAATTTGAGACCGATTCGCAGATTTCATTTTTCCAAAATATTTAATATAAAAATAATTAAAAATTAATTAAAAATTATAAACAGGTACGGTCCTGCACAGCGATGGAACGCCTCGACTCGCGCGCGCTATGCTTAGAATCGACAAAATTGCAAATCGCATCTGTTTTTGAGGACTATTGCGCTACGCACTCAGGGTAGGACCTGCTCTTTGATTTTTTTTTATAATTGCTTTATTTTGTTTAATATAATTTTTGTATAAAAATGAAATCTGCCAATCGCTCTCAAATTATGCGAAGTACCACCCCTACAAATTTGGACGCCAAGTTCGGAAACACCCTGTATAGATGAAATATATTAAAAATATTTACATAACATTAACATAGTCCATATAAAATTTAAAAGACAATAGATACATAAAAATGAAAAGGTATGAACTGTATTGTATTTGGAACGTCACATTTGGTTCATTAATATGATTTTATTTTGTGAGCCTTATAATAACCTTTACAAGAAGTAAAAATACTTTCTTGGATATAACAGGAATGTCACATCTGTTTTGGGAACTTCCAGTAACGTTGAATAACGTAACAAGGTAGCGCTATAATAGAACTGGAACATCTACATTGTTTCATCACAAAAGTAAACGTCCCTACTCTGAACTTAGACGGTTATGAGTCCTATAAATGAAAACAAGAGTAAAAATGAGAATTACAATGTAACAATGTGATGTAAAGTTTTCATTAATTAACGTTTTTATGCATAGTGGGATAAGTTGTAGAATAATGTTGAAAATTCGGAAACAAATTCACCTCCTTACGAGTGAATTTTAAACCCAAAAACTGAGCTTGTCCGGGGAAGGGACGAATATTATTATTTGCCGCGGCGCTCCGGGGCTACTTAAAGATGATTGATGGTGCCATTTGACTTACAGGTCAGGAAAATCCGGAAAACCTCAACTGTTAAAACCATCTAATTAATAGCTATTCCTTAATTGAAAAGAAAAAATAATCCTAACCTATAAATAGAAAACAGAAATAAAAATGCAGAAATGGAGAAATATAAAATATAGGGTCGTAAGTTGGATCTGATTTTAAGGAGTACCTAGGACATGATATTACACTTGGCTGGGTTCAATTTTAAGTTATTTCTGACACCATTCATTAACTTGTTTCAGATTTTCAGAAAGTCGCTTGCAGTCGTCAGCAATACTATTTAATATGCGAGCATAAATAGTATTTCAAATGCCAAAGAAAAGATGCTTGTATTTCTACAATTATCAGGACAATAATGATAGGAGCCATTATTATCAGAACAATGCAGAATATACCTACAGAAGAGAAACTGATTTGAAGAAATGAACCCGTCAATAAAATAATTTAAGGTGAGCACTTTTTGATTCTAGTTCATCGATTTCTTGATTTAGAATTTTAAAAATGTATTTTTTTTTTTTTTTTCATATTTGATTTCGTGATTATTTTTATTCAGGTAATTAATTATACATTTTTGGAGCCAGATCGATTTACTTAATTGTGGAAGAACATGTATCTTATTACTGTAATCGCAGATACGGCATAATTTTTAAAACTGAAGTGATATTTTTGAGCTATACAATAGAAACAGGGGAGATCAAGGCGATCAATATACCCCCCCGAGTCTACGAATAATTATGAGTGTATTAAATAAGAGGCTCTTCATCTATGTATATTTCCACTACGCCAATGCATAGAAATACAACTGCCTGTTTCAATATTTTACTTTCTCGAAACAACAGTACACTAGGTTATATTATGTAGTCTGTCTCGAGAAAAATTTAGTTTCAAAAATATATATATTTTTTTAACATTTCGAGTGATTGTATATTAAAGCCTTATCCCTTTCGTAAAGGAATTTCATTGGCAAAAATTAAGGACTTCATAATGTCTCCAAAATTAGTAACGGAATGGGTTGTAATTAGCATTTCTGATAATGAAATCCCTTTCTGAGACTATGAAATTATCAAGTATGAACAGGAATAACAATTTTACATAAAAAGTTTCGTCAGAAAAAGATAACCAAAATTCTCAAGAAACAAAGATTTTTTGGTGGAAAAAATTATTGTTCTCCGATTTTCGTGAAAATTTAGGTACGCATAAAAGAAAACAAAAGAAATGTCGGAGGATAAAAATGAAATTTACATTTTCGCCAAATACTAGAAAACGGCTAGAGATACTCTATACGCAATAGCCAATTTTGATTTGATTTGATATTTAATAATATGCTGTGAAACTATTAGCAAATTAAACAAAAACAATATTTCAACACCTTACTTATATCTTTTTCCACTGTAACATTTTATTGAGGCATGTTTGGTCCAATCTTCATATTTTGGTCCAAATAACGTGCTCTTATATGCCCCAAAAGTTATATGATTGACCCTATATACGTTTAAGAACACAATGGGACATCTAGTATGTCAAAACAAAATAAGTCAAATATTGCTCGAAACGAAATCATGGCAACCACGCAAGATATGGGCATAGTATTTAAATTGTCCCTTAAATAAGTTATAACGTCAATAAGAAATGTCAGATCACTAAGCAATGTTTATTAATTTTTACTACTGCAGATGTTTTTTTCCATAAAACCTTCACATGTTCCCCTTAAAAACGCAAGGAATTATGATCAAAAAATTGAAGAAACTCAAATGTAAATGAGTTACTTAGCGTTTATTTATCTTGCCTGACGTGTACCTCCATTGTTTGTTTATAGCTCTGGAAAAATTTGGTACTGGTTTACTTTCACGTTTTACTTATCGAAATTTACTCCATAGTTTAATATTGTTTAATTTTAGCGTTATATGCCATTCTGTGGCATACATTTTTCACAATATTAAAAAAAATATGACTATAAAATATTTAACTCGCATCGTTAACAGTTCTATCAGTTCCTCAATTTTCCATCTCAATGGAAAGTTGCGCACGTAATCCCATTGACTAAAATAAAAAAATCCGAATGAATTTAAAGATATACGGCCTATTAGTATTCTCTGCACAGCTTCTAAAGTTATGGAAAAAGTTCTTTATCATCAAATAAAAACCTTTCTAGATCGTTATAATATTATTCCTATTAATCAATCTGGTTTTCGCCCTAATCACAGTTGCAACACTGTCCTATTCTCAGTCATCGATGATATCATTAGAGCTACTGACCAAAATCGACTTACAGTTTTAGTCTTATTCGACTATAGTAAGGCGTTTGACAGAATAAATCATGCGATGCTAATAGGGCTATTACACCATCTGGGATTTAATGAAGATTCGAAACGTCTTATTGCTATCTTAATAATAATAGAATACCGTATGTCAAATATAAGGATAAATTGTCTTCTTCACTAAACATAGAAAATGGGGTTCTACAAGGATCTATTCTGGGCCTTTTATTATTTTATCACTGAAGTATTGCAATTTTCACCAATATGCAGATGATATTCAAATTTACCTTTCATTCCCTGCGTGTAAATTTAAAGAAAGCATCACCAAAGTAAATTCTGATTTGAATCTACTTTTTAAATTGTCTAATGACTATTGTTTAGATATAAATCCCTCTAAATCTCATGTTACGTTGTTTGGCAGAAAAAAGAATGAAATTATAATGATCAGCTTAGAATTGAAGTCAACAATAAAATATTGCCTAATACAAATATCGCAAAAAACTTGTGTTTATTTCTAGATACCGATCTTCGATTTGAAAAACACATTAATAATGTAATAAAAAAATGTGTACATAACGAATATAAAAATGATTTACGCCAATAAAGATACACTAGATCGTCGTTCTAAAATTGCATTAAATGAAACGCTTGTTTTTTCTCACTTGGATTTTTTGTGCTTGTCTATGGACCATGCATTACTCAATTCAATAACCAGCGTCTTCAACGTATTCAAAATACCTGCATTAGATTAATTTATAAATTAAATAAATCAACAAGTTTCTCATGAAAGGAATGAATTGAAGTGGTTGACGGTAAAACAAGCTCGTTTTTGCATTCCTGTTGCCTATTTCAAAAAAAATTATTATTTAAAACGCCTGCATATCTACTTAACAAGATAAGATTCAGAAGCGATGTACATAATCTTAATATCCGTAGAAAAAATTTTGTATCAATCTCACAAGACTAAAATGTTTGAAAGCTCTTTTACTTACGTATTTTACAAAATAATTATACTACTGGCTTACTGAATACACGTTATTGTTATTATTATAATTTAGACACGAGCTACAATAGACCCTATAGGATCGCACTCAAATTATTCAACTTAACAAAATATAAGTATACAAACTTATGATTTGTTAGAGACATTAATTAATGAATCCCCCTCGTATGTATGTACACATTGCTTGGAGGACTGGAGGTATTAGCAAATAAAACACAAACGTTTATAACAAATACTTTATTAGATAAATAATACCACATGAGTCTGTCTGAAAATAGACAATCACATGAGCTCCAGTAAAGTGTCTACATTATAGCTGGGTTAAAACACCTTCACTATAATAACAAAAACTAATAAACTCATACAGAATCAAATAAATATCTTTACATACTAATTAAATACGTTCACAAAACTAGAAAACATTGTATATTGTAAATTTCAAGTTAATAAAATGATTGCACATTTTGTAACAGAAAAATTACAATGCAAAAATAAAACAGTAATTGGTAATTATTTTAGTTTTAAAATATTTTTTGACGATTTCCTTCTCACATTTCCTTCCTAAAGCATTTAGCAGTAAAATAAAATACGTCATGCCATAAAATAAAATAAAATGGATTAAAAATGTAACACTTTTTACAAACAAATAATTCAGAAAAAACCAGGGAAATAACTTCAGTAAAGAAATGTGATTTTTTTTTTAATAAATTTATATAAAGTAAAAAGTGAACACTAGAAATAAAGGTAAAATGAAAATTCGTCACAATGATTTGTTATTCTATTACTAAATATTCTGTTTATATATCTTAGAAGTAAAAAAGGTAACTAGCGGTCATGAAAAACCAAATGAAAGTATTTTACTTGCATCTGAACAATACTTAAGAACTTGATAATTTGCTACAAGCGTTTTAAAACATATTTTATTCATTTTTTCCGTAAATTGATCAAGAACCTTCCAAAATATTTAGTAAAAGATTAAGCAAACACTTCTTAAAAATACAATACTTATTTTTAACATCTATCTGTATAGTTAAAAAAATGCAAACACAATGAGGCTTGTGTCCTACAATTCATTTTTTCTTAATTGAAAATTACTAAGACAGCCAGAATTTATTTGTTGATGACTATTCATCATCATTGTAATACTTAATTATTTTGTAAGTCCATCAGCATATTAAACATTTAAAACATACTTAAATTAAAGATAACTGTTTGCTGTACTAAAAAGTGCTAAAAAACATTGTTTTACTACTAGCGCAGATATTCGTTGGACTATCGGGCATTAAATTACTCTGAACAATTATTGACACCACAAAAATATTTATATTGCACTATGTTTACAATTTTGAGGATATGCAGTTTTGTTAAAGACAAGGTTGACACTAATCAGCAATTTAAATAGAATTCAAGACAAAATAAAATCTAGAAAATGTATGCAGATTAAAGGCAACAATATTGGCCATGATATGTATTTTTTGGAAGCCATTTTGTATGATCAAAAAGACGTTTAATTTTAAAATTCCTTTTTTAAACCATTTTTCACCCTGTACAAATAACGGTTACTATTTTAAACTGATCTTAACATTTCTAGAATTGCCTGTGTAGTGACGGTAGACTAAGTATTTAAAAAAAGATGTTTCATTACGTTTTGCTCGAAAATTCTGGTAAAAACTTTTACACGTGTCGTGTCGAATACCACCTATTTTTAACTACACATTTGCATGTCCTATTCTAAGAGTGTCAATCATTGATCACTTAACGTTTTTTACGCAAAAAAATATGGCAAAGTTTTGTATTCTAGTTATTTGATTAAGAAATAAATCATTAGGAAACCCTCTAAAAATAACTGGTGGCTGTTTATTTAAAATAAAATACACATAAGGCTGGACAAACTTTATAAAATCCAGGTCAACAACTAATTTATACCGAAATACAAATATTTATTATTTAATTCTTTCAAAATAAACAGGCAAGTATTTTAAACAAACAAATTAGATAGGTATACATTTTTCTAAGGTAATTAATTTTAAATAAAAACAATTCTATATAAATGCATGTTGTGTACCTTTTGGTCAAAATAAATAATACAGAGGTGAACAGAATTCAATTCAAAATTTTATTTTAATTCAGTTACTTTACAATTACTATAATTATAATTGGTAAATGAAGAATTCTCCAAAAGTTGTTAACTGACGCACTTAATTTACAGTAATTCAATTGCTTCAAAGTAATTTTATTTACGTCCGAAACCTCACAAACTTTTTCACACTACCAGGTCAAATTAGTCCCCCACACATTGTACTCGTCAGACATAACAGATCTTTTGAATAAATAATTACGTTCATAACACATATGTAAAAAAAGTTAAAAGAAAAAACAAGGAAGTGCCACATTATTAAAAATCAACTTTCATTATTTCTGCAAAATTGCAACCATTCCACTTTGATAACGTCATCAGTGGCATTACAATTTCCTTTTTACATTAGCTTGGAATAAATCACATAGTTTTATCCACATCTTTTGAATATTTGTTGAGATACACTCTAATAATTGGCAAAGACGTCAACCTGTACCGGATGCTTTGAAAGACATTATAATGTCTTATATTTATGCAAATAAAAATTTCAATGAATCATTAAGTAATTACATTGTTGTTAAATATTAACAACAGTAGTCATCACTGTTTTGCCGCAATTATTTTTCCATGCTACCATAACAAAATAATCAAAACATTAAAAATATGGTCAATAACCTTACTGAAATGTTAATTTTTCTGAACGTACCTAGTTCGGACATGAGGTTTTGTTAGGAAACGGTTAAATTCTAGAATCCTATTTAATTTATGGAAATTTAGAATGAAGAAGTGAATTTCTATTTTTATAGTGATTTGAAGTTAGTAAAAAGTACTGATTAGACATTTAAAGAAATTTTAATGAAAAAATAACTTCCTGAATAATGAATGATTCTAAACGTTGAATGAATCATCATATTTGGATTACATAGTTCAATTATTCAATGCTCTTTTTTTTGGTCGAAAATAATCAACCAACAGTGTATGCAAAACAGTTTACAGAAAACTTTTAAGTATGTATATTTTTCTATTCAATCTACGCAACGAAAAAAGTGAGTCCTTGAACACCAGCGTTTCAAATATTTGCTAATCACAAATCTTAATCATATTCAAAATGTTATTTTTAGCAAAACATGTGCGTGTTCCGAATTTTAAAACAATGGCAACTATTAACAGACTTAATTATGTGATAATGTTATCAACAATTTTTGTGTATATCTAAAGCCATCATAAAAATTCTCCCCTTGCAATAAAAAATAATTGTCACATTTATTAGATTATCATCAATATTGGTACTTTAGTAAAACAGAAAATTGTTTCAAAACATCCTCTAGTCTAGTCTTCTTTTTGTTAACAGGAAGGACTAATATACAGAGCAGAGAAAAGCATTTCTCAGATATTAACCTAAATATATGAACCCGTTTTGTGGTATCAGCAGTAACAATATTAGGAACGATTCAAAAATAATTAGAAAATAGAAGAATTGAAATCAGCTCTTGGGACTAAGTTACTTCTGGACAGAGTTATTTTATTATCGGTAGCTGTTTTGCGATATCAGGTCCTTTGTGAAAACTACCATTGAATTATTCCTTTTACATTTTTTATTATTTCTTCTTAAAACATAACTGCTGCAATAGGCATTAAAATGTATTGCTAATGGTAGCAAGCCAGTGTTTCATTTTGTGTCTAAAACCTCTTTTCCTCGGGCGTTAACTTGTAGTTCACAGTTCAAATTTGTGATGTTTCTGTAAATGCAATTCTGAAATAGTAGTAGCATCTTTTCTTTGCAAATTATCAAGAGCTTGAGAATTTTTAAATATGCATTGCACGCATGATTAATCCCAATGTTGGAGACCTTTTGATAGATGGTAGCATCAATCTCCTTTTTGTTTTCCTCGCCGACTTTTAATACTTTTAAAAACAGACAAGAAAGAAGAAACAAGTCGCGACCATACAAATAATACTCGCTACAGGAATTTTCAATGCACATGCTGTTATTTCATTCAAATTGTACTATTTTTCAAAGCAAGTCTTGTAAAAAAGGTACAGTTGTGGTAGTATAATTAGACATAGCTTTAACCATGACTTAAAAGGTTCGGTGGTTCCCTTTCAAACGTATTAAGGCAGATAGATCGGTAGCGCAATGTGTCGAGTGGCCGGTATTCATTTACGGGCCTTTTAGTGGTTCAGCGACACTCTGCTTCAAATCCTAGCCTATACCATGTTGTTTAATTAACTTGCATGATTCGTTGTAGGATTTGAAGGGTGTCGTATTAGCAGTAATTTAATTTTGGTTGATATCACATCCAGATTAAAAATCGCAGTGTGATTGTGGATGGGGTTTTCCTCGCCTATAAGTCGCCATAGAGCGACACGGAAAATCACTAAATTATTGGAATTGATTAGATGTAAAATGTAACGCACAAAAATCCTCATACACTACACAATTATAATTATAAATAAAAACAAAAAATTGTGATTTTTTAAATAAAATATTGCCCAATCCTGCAGTTCTAGTAGAAGATAGCGAGTGCAAATTCTGTGAGGAGGAAGATGAAACATCCACTCACATTCTTACTAAATCGTTATACACGTTGGGACTATTCCCGTGCTGAATTAGGGGCATAAAGGGAATATATTATTTAGATAGCAGTGAATTAATTTTAATGAAATAAGTTTAGACACCGTTAATAAAATGCCGTAGAAAACAAAGAGTTCAATGCACATTCAAATGTATTCATTTTTGTTATCGCTATTTTGTAGATAGTTAAACCCAATTTTTAACAAAAATATACAACTTTCCCCTGTAAAAATGTATTAACTAAATGAATGTCTACTGAATTAGCAAACAATGTGGCTATGTGAAAAAGTGCTAATGCATTAACACATTAAAATTGCAGAAATCGTAGTGTGTGAAAGTTGGTTTTTAGGAGGTATCATATCAAAAAAACTTTCATTAAAATAAATATAATGCAAGTTCGATGTTTGATTGTAGAAAACTAATGCAATAAAATGATTAATACTAGTTTTAATTAATAGAACTGCTTAGTTTTACAAAAATGTTAATTTCCGTTAAAAGTGTGGAAAATATACATTATTTATCAATAACAAATTATAGAATAAAAGTTGTTTTTACATATAAAACTAGTTATTTAATGCGACTCACAACCTACAATTCACATAAATTTTGGCGATGAAAAACATTTTTATATTGACAATTTTTATTATAACTTCTGATATTTTTATTTCATCACGGAAATACCTTGATGCTAATAATACAAGTATAATATTAGATAGGGAAACCTATTAGAATTTAAAATATTATGTGGGAATCAAAATTCGAGACTTAACTGTGAATTAAATTTTAATTGATTCATTTATTTGTATATTGCTAAAATTTTTAATGTAACCAACCAATTTGAATGAAGCTTTTAATTGTGTAGTTTCTAGATTCTTATAATAACAATGAATTTTTAAATCCAATATTTTGTGTTTAAAGATAGTAGGTAGACCCTATAAATCTAGAATACCTATATAAGACAGAAATGGGTTAAGTGGCATGAAAGATTTTAAAATTGTGTTTAAATTACTTATTAGAGATAAAAAATTCCAGTCTGATAATTCTACACAATTGTAATCTGTTTAGATACTAATAAAAGTCGTCTTTTTAAACCTTATACATAGTAACAAATGTTTTTATATTATTTATCTGTGTACTGAGGAGTTTTATTAGATGACAACATTGTAGTTTAACTATTATATTTTTACTGTAATGAATTTAACCTTAACTGAGCTTGTCCTTGCCTTATATGTATGTAAAGAAATAATATTGAACAGATGACCTGCTAATTCTATGACCTAAAATACAATCTGGCTAGTTGAAACAATAACAATCAATTTAAAACTTGTAACCTATAAAATTTTATATTTTTATTAAAATAAAATTGTCTAAATAGATTAAAAAATTTAATTTATAAAAATGGATATGCCTAAGCTTACGGTACCGTAAAAGGTAGGAAAAACGTTTGGATTTCGGCAAATGCTGTGCGCACGTAAACTGATCTTTTTTATTATTTAGTTTATGAAAATTTAAGAGTTCATGAACAATTTTTGATTCGAAAATAATGAAAAATTACGTTGAGAATTTTTTCTGTCGATTGACTATACTTACCTGTCAAATTTGATATATATAAAACAATATAATAAGCTAGGATATTTATCAAAATTTCGATTTGTACCTACATTGATAGGCAGATAAAAATGTCTAAGGAAGATAGCTGTGAGAGTTAGTGGAATCTGACAATTTAATAATTATTTTGCCATATATCTTGAAAGGCAGTTTTAATAATAAAATTGTCTTTATTTATTTACAAATATGCCAGACAATCATTTGAATGTACTCCAACAGAACTGTGAGCGCTGCAAAAAGCTATATATGGCATGATTCTGGAACAAAGCAGGAAGAGAAACGAAAACACTTATGAAGCATATACCTACCATATGGCATTTGCTAGCAGGAAAAGTGACACATGCTAGTTGGAAAAGTTTATTTTCCCTGCTAGCAAGTAAACAATAAGTCGCTTCTCGGCTGTTTTGAAGGGTTTAAATCCACAGATTACTAAAAGATTATGAGTAAAATAGATCCCATTATGTAATTGTGAATTAAGCGACATTTACGTGTTTCCAAGAAACAGGAATAAAAAGCTTTTTAATTTTGTTAAATTGGCCCAAAGTCATAGTTAATAACTCAGAACTTTGTTCAGTAAAATAGGGAATTCAATGATTATTAAAGGATGGCATCTCTGTGAATCATTAGATAGTAGAGGACAGGTTGATGCAGTATATACCGATTTTTCTAAGGCCTTTAATAAAATCAGTCACCAAATAATTCTGTAGAAGCTTTCTAGTTTATGTTTTGATATTACTTATGTTCTTCTTAAATCATATTTAACTAAGCGCAAATAATATGTTTTTTATAATGGATTTAATTCTAATTACTTTACTTTAACTAGTGGAGTTCCTCAAGGGTCCAATTTAGGGCCACGTTAATATTCATTAACGATTTGTGTGACTTGCTTGAATACAATAGGTTAATGTTTGTAGATGACTTAAAATTATATACTAGTATCTCTAGTACAGCTAATTGTTTAACATTGCAAAATCAAATTAACCTATTGCAGGAATGGTGTCACAGAAATCGCCTCTTTTTAAATATTTCTAAATGTAAAATTGTGACTTATAGCCGCAAACATATTTCTCTGAATTTTCCTTATTCCATTAATATTATTTTGGAAAGAACAAACATTATTAAAGATTTGGGTGTTCACTTTGATTATCAAGTTACTTTTAACTACCACTTTTAACTCTTTGTGAATTCAGCGTATCCTGCATATGGTTATATAATCTGGAATTGTAAGAATTTCAATAGTATCTTGGCATTAACATCCCTATATTTTAGCTTAGTTAGAACAAAATAGAATATTTATCAATAATATGGCATCCTATATACATTCATTATTCAGACATTATTGAGAAAATTCTAAAGAAATCCTTAAGTTTTAAATTAAATGGATTTTATCCTCCAAGAGGTTGTAACTACCTAGATTTACTACACCAATTTGATTTTGTATCATTGGAAACACATAGAAATCAGGGATCTGTTTTGTTCTTGCATAAATTGTTTAATGGTGAAATTGACTGTGCTTTGTTGCTCTCTCAAATAATTTTTTTGTACCTAGGATAACCTCTAGACATATTACATTTTTAAGTAACTGAGCTCAAACTAATTTGTTGTCAAAAGCACCAATTACCTTAATGTGTAGTAATACAAACAAACTATCAGATATTTGTGATATTTTCTGTTGCAGTGTATGTGAATTAAAAAACAAATCAAGAGCTTATCTTTGAATTCCTATTAATTTTTTACTATTTATTTTCTTAGTTTAATTTTATATTGTTAAAGGGAAACTGTTGGAAATTATTATTATTATTTATTAGGTTTTTTTATTTTGTCTCTTAATTCAATATTGCATAATGTTGGAATTATTCAGCATATTTGTATTTTTTTATTACAATTTAACTGGTCTTTTTGGATATTAGAAATTCGAATAACCCATAAAACTTTTTAAGAAAATGTGAAAAAAATCAAAGTTGTTTATTATTATTTAAATTTGGTTGGTGGGTGGAAAACCAAAAAAGAAACAACTATTTAATTTAACATTTTGAGAAATAACCTATTTATTGTATTTTGAAAACATGTCAAATTTGACAGCTATAGCCAATCGATAGAAAAATGTAATTTTTTATTATTTGCGAAGAAAAACTGTTCATACAATCTAAATCTGCATGAATTAAATAATACTAAAAAGTCCCATATGATGAGAATTTTAATGGTGACACTAGGTATATTTTTTAGATTAGGTACCTAATTTAGATTATTCCCTTCCACTTATGGTGCCGTAACAGTAAACACAGTGCAAATAAATATGCAGCTAGATAAACCAACATCATTATCTATAAGAAAATTTCGATATCAAAATATTTTAACTAGTCAAAATATATTTTGGTATACAACTGTATATTTCCAGATTGGATATAAACGATGTTGTTTTCTAATTAAATTTAAGTAAAAGTAAAAAAAAATCTAATATTTAATCTAGAAATGAGTAAGACACATTCTTCTCTACATTACATTCTTGTTTAAAAAACAGTATCATTCACTATGCCATTCATAAGTCAATAAACAAATAATCACAAATTTGACTCAACATTCATATAATGAAACTTGATTTTGAATCACAGATCTTATCATTTAAATTTATACAAATTGAAATAGTTAAGCGTATTAGCAATAGATTCGAGTTAAGCGTATAATCCTAGTTATTTTAAGAAGTGTCCAGAACAAGATAATTACCTTTGCCAAATATATTCCATTTAAAACACATGTATCATGTTTTGAAAGAAAGAATTCAAGCAAACGTTTCCATCTTCACCATCAGATGATACCAGTTCATGTAATGTAATTTGAACTTTCTACTAGTTCTTCCTTTGCTGATGTAACTTCTCAAATTTGGATGTCATTAAAGGAACATTAAAATCGAAAATAGTTAAATGATCTCCTAATTTTGGGATTAATTCTCTTGAGATATAAATCGGAAAACTGGCGTTCTACACTCGTCGTCTGAATCGTAATAAAATTGTTTTGTTGTAAGTCCTAATTGTACCCTTTTTACAGCTTCACTAACTAAACTTCCATCCTTTAAAAATTTTTGTAATAGTTCATAGGGATCTTCACTGCCAACTTCCTGGATTTTATGTTTACCGATACAATTTGAGTCACAACACCGTCTATCACAGCATTTTGGGGGCCTGTTATACGGCGAAGCCCTAGACGATTTTCTAGAAATACTGCGAGGTATAGCCTTGTACTGTATGGTTCCCGAAGCTGCAGATAATCGAAGATTTTCCTTAATTTCTAAAACGAGGCCTTCAATATCTTTGGAGGAAATACTGAATTTAGAACCAGTGGACGTCATATTACACATTTCTGCTGAAGGCATTTCTTCAATTCTTACTCTTCGTTTCAATACTCCTGTACACACTAGATTTTTTCCACAACGAATTTAATAAACAATATAACTAAAAGTGATTATAAGTCTTTTAGTCTGGAATAATACCTACGTAACTACGAGAACGTGAAACGTGGGGCGATCGGTAGGAATGAAACAGTATATCAACCTCATCAATTTACTACTCCTCGTGTGCTCGTTTTGTTTGGGTGCTTTTACAAAAACATGCGCCACCATAAAATAGTTCCACGTAAATATTGTCGATTATACTACACTTCCACCGAGTTTAAAATAACTGAATACAATGAAACGTTTTCTATTTGCCACACTCTTAAATCACTGCAAAACAACATTCAATTGATAAGTAATAAAGCAACAGAAAATTATGTAAACAAACCATTTCCAGGAGTTAAAACAGTTAAATCAAGGCTACGCTTGTTGATGTTGATATGCTTTGACGTCAGTCACGAGAGGTGTAAATGGTGGGGTAATGTTTATTTACATTTTGCGAAGGCAGTGGAGCGGAAAGGACAATATTGATTCTCTCTTTTTGTTTACTTGCTTTACTTGTTTACGTGTTGTTTACGAAGTTCAGCTACCGATATTTAACGAAAAAATGAGGACAAATAACTATAATTGACAGTAAAATTAAAACGGGTCCTTGTTATTATTTTTAATCAGTACATCAACCCACAAATTAATAGTTATTTATTCGTTTACCAAAATATCTTTTTGTAAATGATTTTAACTAAAGACGAAAATAAACGTTTCCTAAAAAAATACCTATATCATTTCATGCAAACTCATTAGGTACGCACGTGATGGTTACATAAAACTTTCAGTTAAAAAGGGTATTTTTATCAAATGTCGAAATCTTTTAGAACTATTTTTAAAATATTAAGAACCTATTACATATGCAACCAAACTGACCACGATATGTATTGAATGTTGCCTATCTATTTGTAAATGATATTTTTTTTGAATAAAATATGTTTGGATAAATATTTGTTATGTAAAAAACAACACTGCTACGACAAATGGTCTACAAAAGATAGATGAGATGTTAAGTGATTTCTCAGAATTAACGAAAAATAAGTTTCCGATACTTAAAAGAATATTCTAAGAGAATCTTGACCACTTATTTAAATTTTTTGGCAGGTAGAAAAACAAATACAGCAAAAACTATCAGTTTTGCAACCCCACGGTGGATTTAGCGAGTTTTGATGCAACAAAATAATGAGAAATGATACTTAGTTTCTTTTATTAACCACAAACTTTCGCCTAATAAGAAATAAAATATTCTGATAACGAACAGTTACAAATTTTGCCTTATAACAAAAATATTATATTAGTATAGTGTAGGCAAAGCAAGGGCGGCTCCAAAGAGAGAGCCATTGGGCATGAACTTTTGAAACTGCACTCCTCAAATATTAACATTGTGTCCTTTATTTATTTTAATCTTATTTATATATTCACCAAATACACCAACTTATTTTATAAAAATAATTTATTTGTAATCAAAATTAAACTCAAATATCAAAAAATCCATTTATATACTAAAAATATTATGTTTCAGACAAATCCAGTCATGACTCTTCGAGATGCTTCTAGATGGTCCTCTTCCATGAATCGCCACTTGCGCTAGAACTATCCAGTAACTTCTCATAGGTGTCCGATTGTCTCTATATCAACCAGCGGTGATGAACGGAATGTCGAGAAGGTAAAAAGCATGGCCGGTTGAAAATAACAAGCAAGACAATATTGCATATCCAGCAGTACAACAACTTTGTAAGTGCAAAAATATGTCAGAAGTTACAGAAAAAATAATTTTTATACATATTAAAAGTTTCTACAATTTATTAAACTCAAAATATATTTTATCTTATACAGTGTAAACCTGATGATAATAGACAATGAGAAAGAAGTTGCAGAATAAATTAATAATAATTTTTTTGTCTGAAGATTTTTTTTGGATTAATTATCTTTTGATATTAATCAGTTTTACATTATATCCTGTCACATCTTTTAAATAGGGACTGAGAGTAGACAGAATCTATTAAAAATAGAGAATAATATATTTTACTTCTGTTTTATGAGCTGTAATTCTTATAAATTAACCCTGTAATGCAGGTGTTAATACATATCTCTACCTATAGGCAGCCACCAGGTTAGGTGGATATATGTAATAAGCCTTGAATATGTGTAAATGGTATGAGTATAATCTGTTCAAATTATAACAAACGATTGTAGAGGACAATTGATTTCTTTTTAATCTGAAACTTTATATTTTTTCTCTTATCATATTCCTTATTAACACTAAATGTTTTATGATTTCAGAAATTGAAGTTCGAGCATCGAGCAGTAAAATAATTGTGTTGAATGCCTATTTGAGAATTATTTATTCAGTGTAACTGCAGCTTGGAGAAATAACATCAACACCTAGAAATAACTTCCTCAATGGTATCCAATCTGTTCTTCAAATTTCTATTGTAATATTAAATAAAACTCACTGTGCTTGTTTCGCTTTTTACAGATTTACCTCTTCATGTAAATGACATTCTGATTTCGTTTTAATTAAAAATCACGCATTCAAGACGTACTCTCAGAAGCGAAATTGAAGCTTTTCTTTTTAAAATTGTCAAGTCTTTAACTCTAGATTGCCAGCGTTACTCAATAGTCTTTTGTTGCCAGCAATACGTCAACTTTACAAATCATTTTGAATCACTTATTTCAGAAACAACCTGTCACTTTTGAATATTTTAAATTGTCATAAGGATATTTACGGGAGTTAGGTTTTTTCTGCATTAAATGTGTGTAACTCCAAAACTACAATCCTATTGTGATAAGCCCAATATGGACAAAAAGTGGCCTAGGTTGTTTCTGATATAAACGATTATATTATTATTGAGCCAATTCATTAAAAAATATTGTAAGGGTTACAAAACACTTAAAAATCTTAATATATTTTAAAATATTGCTTTACAATTTTTTGACATTTGAGATATCTGTTATTATAATGCTCACCTTATACCTACTTACCTATTCGCTCCGTGCGCGACCGCAGCGCCAATTCGTTTTGGTATTAATGGACTATTTCTGTGTATACTGACAAATACAATTTTTAATAGAATTCGTAATTAAAAAGTATATATGTTAGTTTTAATAAAAGCATATGGATTTGTAAAACAAGTAAAACATTAATTTATTATTATTATATATTTTTAACGCTTAAATTAAAGAAAATTATGTATAATCAATGAAAATCAATAATAAAATATAGGCAGACAACAGTATTTACTGGAAAATGTATGAGAAGTTGCCTAAGTCTAATAAGTTGTCATTGAAGAATTAGCCTGTTCTGTCAAAATAAAAAAATACCATTTAATAATAGCGTGAAGTTAAAATGTATAAAAAAAAGAATCGCTATTTATATTTTCATTTTTGTTCGAAAGAAAACATAGAATGAATGATTAAAACTGGTTTCTCATCAGTAAGTCACAAAATTACATTCCATCCACATATAATAATCAAAGACAATAATCTTGAAATCTAGTCCTTGCTGAATGAACATTTAAAATGAACATTTAAGAATAAAGGGACATTAAAGAACATCGTAAAACGATAATTTATTGTTTATTTAAAACCTTTCAAGTTTCTGATGTCTACTATTTACAGCATTACTGTTATTATTACAAAAATAAAGATAATTTTTTCTTCTTATTGTACATCTATCCATTTATTTCTTTGATTTAATTTCCACTTTTCTACTGAAATTTTTTATATAAGTTTCACTCTTTTTTTTGCTAGTATTTGTACAATTTTCAATACAGCAACTCCGGTTGCTTATTGTATTGTTTGTACCTACTTTTTTGAAAAAAAGTAAAATGTATACCTGTATTTGATATGCCAAAATTACAAAATATCGCCCTAAAATGCACGAATTATCCGCAGCTAGCGCTAGTGTCGCTTTTGCTTCCCTTTCCATGACTTCGCACGCAGCGAATAGGTTTCATGCAAATCACACATTTTATTTTCGTCTTTCTTTTTTTTTGATATAAGATCAGATGAAAATACTTTCGATATCCTTCTTATTGTGAATTTCCTCCCACTTTGTATGGATTGTTTTGAGTTAACGGCTTATAGTTTCCATATATACATGAATTAGAAATATGTGGGAACTATAAAAGTAACAAAAACCTCAACAAGCTTTTAACACTATTACATCGACAGACTAAAAGAAGCATAGCTAGAATGTCGCTGTGATTGAAGCATAAAGTAGAGAGATATACAAGATCTTTGAAAATATAAACATTAAATGTACTTATACTGGCACTCTAGGGTTAAATGAAATGAGTCTTTACACATAATCTTGAATTTATTCAAAAAATTTGCTAGTGATTTATTTGGTCAATTGTTTCATTTTGAGATAATGTCTATTATTATATAATATATAAATTACAAAATGATTCAAATTTTTAAAAGGTTTTTGTTAGACTTATTGTAAAATTAATGTTGTTAAATATTTATTATACAGTGGGGATGTATAGGTTGGAATAAATTTGAAATTTTTCTGAGGGTATTTTAACGAAATACTTTCACAGGTATATTTTTATTTTCAACTCCGCGTCTATTTTTCTTTTCATTTTTGAATTTTTCAATAATAGACGATTACAAAAGTGTATGTAATAACAAAGTCATTGGTCTATGAATTAGAGACAAATATTAAATCAGAAATTTTTAAATCTTTTAATTCTTAGACATTAGTATTGTAAACCAAACCAATACATCTAAAAATAGATATTAATAAAAATCATGTACCATGTTTATTAGTCCAGTCCTTTCAATAAAATTTTAATCATCTATTATTGGGGAATTAAAAAGTAAAGAGAAAAATGTTGAGTGTTGCCATAGATATATAGTGTTGCAGTCTTCTGTATAAAATATCAGGTCTTCTTTGTAGCATTATTGGATAAATCCCGTCGATTCTCAGTTCAAATAAATTGATTACCCATTTTAGTTTGTCATAATCCACCACTTTATTTGCACATTTATATGTAATTGTTTGTTTGTCATGACTTATTTTTAATTCTGTAATTACTCTGTCTTCTTTATAATTTAAAACATGTTTCTTTTTGTTTATTATGTATGTTTCCTTTAAATATTGTACAATTTCTATATCATTTATGCTTTTATATTTTAAATTGTTATTTTTCATAAATAAATATCTCCTTAATCGAATTCTTTTCTTTTATTTCCTAAATCAAAAATATTAACTTTTAAACGTTACTAAACAATATAAACTTGTAGTTAAAAGGCAACACAGAATACATTAACGTGTAATGTTGGTTGCCTAAAATTAGTTTTTAGCCATCTATTGGCAAATAGCTATAACTATATTGTTTTATCTAGTCGCTAATAGACGTCTCTTTTAAATATAGGCAACC